GCCATCCACATACCAGAGAAGGGTGCTGTTTGTGGCCTCCCTTAGAAAGCCGGCAAGGTCTCTGGCCAGTGCCTCCCCAAGAGGGCAGGTGATGTTTTTTTTTTAATTTCCTGTATCTGGTTCGGTCCATTCAAAGGCAAACAAGGGTTGGCTCTGGGGGGCCAAGCAGAGGCCCCCAGAAGAAGGCATCCTTTAAGTCTAGGCAGGTGAACCCAGCTGGCTGAGCCTAGGATCTGGCTGAGGAGGGTGTATGGTTTCTGGACCACAGGGTCAAGGCTTGAACTGGTCAGCTCCTCCTGGCTTTTTAACTGGCAAGAGTAGGATATTCCAGGGTGATTGGCATTAAGGCAGAATGTCTGGCTTTTTTTTTTTTTTTTCCTTTCCCCTGGATGCCTGCCCTTGCCTCTTGTGGGAGGCGATGCTGCTGCTGTCTCTGCAGTTGAGCCCCTGGGATTAATTCTACAATGACGGGGGCCCCATTGTGGGCAAGTCCAGAGGTTGTCCACGGCCCACAAACAGGAGGGCAGTTCTGAATTCAGGTGGGCTGCTGGGTTGGGCCTGGGCGCAGAATAGCCTCCATCTGGATCCAGTTGAGGACTGGTGTGTCCCATTAGCCTGAAGGTTCCTTGGGCCCCCAGCTGTGAGTATATCCCAGCCAAGGGGAGGGGTAGGGCACTCAGGTAGAGGAACTCATGCCGTACCATGTGGCCCCCGAGTCCACATAAAAGTCATAGTTGGGTCCCCCTACTTTTATTTTGCCCGTGGGCTCATGGGGCCCAGGAAGAAGTGAGCCTGGTTCCCCTCAATCTGAATCTCTTCCTTCTAGGCCTGTGAGTCTTTCTTGCAGGGTTCTTTTGCATATCGGCTGGGTTTCCGGGACTTTGCTGGGTGGGACATTTATTCTTTTAATGTCCTTTCTCCTTGCAGTAGGCTCATTGACCCCTAGCTAAGGAGGTTCTGGGCCTCCCCCGTTTTGCTGCTGGACCTTCCCCCTCCTTTTGTCAAGGTTCTCTTGTGCCTCAGGGTCAAGTGGGGTGTAAGCCTTGCATAGCCTCTCGTGATCATCCCTGGGGGATTCCCCTTGCTGCTGGGCATATTCATGGGTCTACATATTAGCCCCTGCTTGGATCCCCCTCCCCTTGCCCCCCAGAAGAGCTTCTTGATACTGGCGGCTGTGGACTGACATCTGGAGAGCACCTGCCCCTAGCCAAGGGCACAGTCTGGCCACTGCTATGGGGAAGAGAGGATCTGCCAAGTCCGGAGGTGCTGGGGAGACCAAACGTGGCAGAGTATCGGGAACCAGGGGGTTCATCTCGGGGGCAAGATTGGTACTTTCTCCGGATCACTGGCGAGAATTTGTGGAGGTCGGGACTTCTTTTGAGCTTCTGTGGAGCATTTTGTCGAGGCGACTAAGACCCTAGCCTGTCTATGTTGTTGCAGGTAAATTGCACCCAAGGGGGAAGGGTTTCAGTAATCTCTAACCAGGAGTGACACAGGAACTGATCAGGGTAGTCTGGGAATCTGGCAACAACATGCCGGACATGGCGGAAGGTGGGGACACATAAGGTTCACCCTAAAGGGCCATCCTACACCAAAAGTGGGCCGTTCTGATTCACATGATTCCAGAGTCTCCCGGAAACCGCTTCTCTGCACAGTCCCAACCCCATAATGATCCCGTGAGGCGATGTCGCAAAGACAGACAAGGGGGTGTGGGTGCCCCCTCTAATGAGGAGACCAGTCAGATGCCCGTCTGGCCATGTCCCGAAGGAACTTAGGTGATGCTTAGCCATAGCGGTCTCAGCTTTGTGACTTATGAACGGAAACTATTCCGATGCTGCCATAGACTGTATGCCATTCATCACAGAATCGCAGACGGGCCCACTCAGACTAGGTAGGCTTCTGGGACCTTAAGGGTTGTCCACCTGTGGAGCCACAGACTCGAACCCGGCAGGCAAGCCAGACCGAGTCACACATTCACACTCACATACACACCAGAGGTTATTACATTCCCTCCCACAGAATTCCTACAGATGAGACCACTGAGGCCTTGGGAGTGATCAGCTCCCCCTCCACCACTAAGGACCGGACAGACTTAGGGCCCAGGCCTTACTGGTTTCCGACGTTGGTTCCAGGTCCTCACTTGCCAAGTCTCCTCGCGTCCGGCAGGAATGGCAGAGTGGGACCAGAGCGGGCCAGCCCGAGGCAGCTGAGCTGGAGACTGCCGACATTCAGGCAAGGCACACCTCCTTTGCAATTCCTCTTTCCGTCACTGCCTCCCTGTTTTCCCAAAACAGTGGCAACAACGGGCCAGCGCTGTTGGGTTTCCCAGTCAGGAAACCAAAAGGGTCTGGATCACCCGGAGCAAGAACCAAGCAGCACTCAGAATCTGGGAAGGCAGGAGGTTTATTTTACACTGGTGGGCTCAGAGGAGATCATTCTCCAGAGGGCTGAGCCCAGAGCATCAGCAGAGGGAATAATTTATCACCTGTTACTTCTGCATTCCTCATTACTGCACACGACAAGCAGGGTGGGAAGAAGAACCTGGAAGGGGGAGTCTTTGATCAAGGACAGGTATTTTCTTATCAGTCCTGTCGGCCATCTTACAACAGATTTTTCCCTATCACTTGTGGTCGTGATAAGGGTCAGTAATTGGCAGTTGAACAGATGGACAACCATCTCCTATAGGGATGCATTAGTTGGAGCCCGTGTTGGGGATAATTCGGGGTCCTGTGGAACTCACACTCCCCAGGAGACATTTATTGGCAGGCAGTGGTGCCTGGCTGTGTCTGTGTAGTGTCGTGGAGGCATTTCGAGACCTTCTGGCCCCCCTGTGGTTCACTCCTTGGGGACTTCTGGAGGTCCTTGCTGTTGATGACTGCATTTGGGTGTGGTGTTGGGAGGCAATTCATTATGTACTGTCAAGATATGGTAGGCGATTGGAGGTCCTGATGCATGTCTGCAGGTTTTTGGGGTGAAGGTGGGGGTTAAATGCAATAAACTTATTTATTTATTTTTTTGAGAGGGAGAGAGAGAATCCCAAGCAGGCTCTGCGCTGTCAGTGTGGAGCTGGATGCAGTGCTTGAACTCACAAGCATTGAGATCATGACCTGAGCCGAAGCCAAGAGTTGGACACTTAACCTCCTGAGCCACCCAGGCATCCCTTAAGGACAGTAAATTTAAGTTTTATCTTTGTTAGAAAAAGTCTAGTGTGTTATGGATGGGCACGGAAGTGTCCAGAAGCTTGGGTTCGACATACCAGTTGTGGCCATCTCAAAGCCTCAGCTCTCTGAATGCAACAGGAGATGGAGATGGTGTTTATGAAAGCTGACCCTGTAGGGGACCACGTGGGATAGAGGCAGCTCTGCATGTGTGTGCAGTTTGGAAGGAGGCAGAGGAAGGGGCCACGGGGTGTTAAGAGTCTGACTTTGGCTTAGGTCATGATGTCATGGTTCATGGGTTTGAGGCCCACGTCGGCCTCTGTGGTGACAACTCAGAGCCTGGACCCTGCTTTGGATTCTGTTTCTCCATCTCTCTCTGCCCCCTCCCCACTCACACACTGCCCCCCCCAAATAAATAAACATTAAAGAAATAATAAGAAAAAAAAAATGGGGGCCAGAGGAAGGACTGGTTCTCTTCTGAGTGACCACAAGGCAAATTATGTAGCAGCAATCAGCTTCACTTTCCTCATCCACAAAATAGGTATAATCATGATCGTGATGTTTAGTTGAGAGGGTTATGTGCAAATTAAGCCAGGTACCCGATAACTTTACTTGCTGATATTTGTCCAGTGTTTACCACATGCCAGGCAGGTGCTGGAGGCATCATTATCCGCGCATACGAGTTTCCCGCGGCCTGTGATGAAAACTTGCATTCCCATTTTGGAAACTACAGTTAAAGTAATGTATTCGTATTTTCACAGCTAAAAGGAGGCAGGGCTACAATTAAACCTTCATCTAATCCAAAATCTTATCATGATTAATAAGTGGCTGGGATCTTCTGAACTTCTATTCCATAGCGATGGAGTTTTGGAGTGGGGAGGGGGGGACAGCCAAGAAAGAATTCTTGAAACAGATGTTTCAAGACGTTTCAACAGATGGAAAAGGTGATTTTATTAAAGCATGGGGACAGGACCTGTGGCCAGAAAGAGGCGCACTCGGGTTGTGAGGAGTGACTGGTTATATACACTATGGAGCTGGGGGAGGGAAAGGCAAAAGGGAGGTTTCCGAAAGGATTCTCATATGCTAGAGAGGACTCGCAGGATACTAGAAGCCTAGCTGTTGTCAAGCTAAAGTTGTTTTTTCTGTAGCAAAGCATTAACATGAAGATGGTGGGGAGTTCCGGGAGGAATGTTTCACTCTGCAGGGTCTCAGTATGTGTCCGTGTGCTGCAGGTTATAAGGAGATTCAATCTTATTTACGTTTCCTTCTTGCCCTTGTTCCCCACGTCACTGTGCAGGGGAGGGTGATGTTAGGGCTCCAGGAAACAGAGTCTGTGGGTTTCTGGGGGTTAGGCTATTGATAAGATTGCCTTTTTCTTGTCATTTACTAAGACATTTGTAAACTGATGGAGACTTATGCCCTGCAGGACTGTGATCTCTATCAGTTAACCATTTGTTTTCCCTTTTCCTTTGTTCTTGGGCAGCCAGGAGTGTCTGAGGAGCGTCCCAGGGATCCCACTTGGTGGGGTTGGGGGTTGCAGGATGTTAGCTGGTCCCTCATCAATAGTGTCTAGCACAGGGGCACCTGGAAGGCTCAGTCAGTTAAGCGTCCGACTCGGTTTCAGCTCAGGACCTGATCCCAGGATCGTGGGATTGAGCCCCACATTGGACTCTGTGCTGACCGCTCAGAGCCTGCTTGGGATTCTCTCTTCCTCTCTTTCTCAAAATAAATAAACACTTAAAAAAATAGTGTCTAGCACAGTGGCCTTCCCCGAAGGACCCTCAAAAATACTTGCATGGAGCAAATGTTAGATGAGTGACCGTGTGGGTGTTCCCTCTCCAGGACTTCCCAGTGTCTCTGTAGAGCCCCTGGGTCAGACCACACCATTGAGGCTGCCGATCTCCTTCGAAGCCCAGCCAGACTCTCCCCCACTGCTCTGACTGAAGTCTCCAGATGCCCACCCAGCTTCGGGCTCCCGGGAAGAGTGGAGTTGCCCGCAAGAGAGACCAAGAAGTGAAGCCCAGAGGAGACATGACTGCTGGCCACAATTTGCCCCACAGGTCCCAGGCCCTGAGTTCAGAGGTGCAGGATGGACCACGCGAGGTGAGCAGGAGCCACCCCAGGGACAGCTTCTGGAAACTGAGGGCAGAGACCGAAAGCAGCAGATTCTGGCCTCTGTGTTGCTGAGACCATGTGCCTCCCCCTGCTGTTGTGCAGGGCTGATGTCCCCTCATTCACAGGCCTTCTGTGTTATAGAGGAAACAACGGGCTGTGGAGGGGAGGGTGGGCCCTGGGGCAGAGGAAGAGGAACAGATAAGGGTGGGAAGCCCCGGCCCCTGGGAGGAAAGTGCTAACTCCTGCTCAGCTCAGCGGGGAAGATGCTTCACCCACCACTGGGTTTCCACCTGACTTCTCACCTGCTTGGTGAGCGTTGCCTGGCTTCCCTCTGTCTGCATGGTTTACAGGACTCGGAGACTAGAGCAAGAACTGTCTTTCACGGACATGTGTGGTTTTTCCTGTCTTAAAGATGAACGGAAGTGCCAGAGAACAGTGTTTCTGAATTGCCCCCAGATGTTATATTAATATTTGCCATATGGGAACAGGTGCCAGGGCCCAGCTCCAGCCAGTCCAGGGGTCCCTGAAGGATGGATGGTGTTGGCGAGGGAGGGATGAGAGAGGCCCGAGATTCTTTGTGGTCACCAGCCAGGCCTCTCTGCACTGTCTGAGACTCAACTTTATTTTATGATTTAGTGTTTGCAAGACAGCACAGAAGTGGCATTCTGATGATAAATTCTTTTATCAGTAAAGATTCTCCAGAACATTGATATGCAAAAGGTGGGGAACAGCCCAGAGGTGGCACTAGCATAGTAAAGGCAAAAGTTAGTTCTTTGTGAGTAGGGGTCAATAGCCTGTTTATCGATTAATGGGAGGTATTAAGAAAAACAGCCCTTTCAGGAACGCAGTGTGGCTCCCATAACCACAAAAGAAGTTCCTACAGTAAGTTCCTTCACAAAGTGCAATCAGCATATCAAGGCCAGAATGAGTCACTCCTAATACCAATCAACAAGGTGACTTGGAGGTTAGTGCTCAAGCAGAAACAATTGGGTGAGAGTGGATATCCGGCGCCATCTGATGGTAATAAGAGTCCGTGCAACTTCCCTTAACCTCACAAGGAGTTCTTTCTCAACCTATGAGTTCAGAAACGGCCCCCAACAAACAAGAAAGGAAGATTCTTTGGGACACTCAGATTTCCTAAATTACAGGTTAGTCTGTATTTAAAGACACTATATGTGCGTTTTAAAACAAATGAGTGGTCCTATTAATAATAGGTGCATTACTGACCTGTGATAAGTTTATAATCAGTTAGAGATGTCCTGTTTTTAAAAAGTATGGTAAATGCGTGGCTTATTACCACTGCGAACCAACATATTGTGAGAAGATTATGTATTTCAGTTATGTTTAAAGTCCTCCCAGAGCGCCCGGGTGGCTCAGTCAGTCCGACTTCGGCTCAGGTCATGATTTCGCAGTTTGTGGGTTCGAGCCCCGTGTCGGGCTCTGTGCTGACAGCTAGCCCAGAGCTTGGAGCCTGTTTCAGATTCTGTGTCTCCCTCTCTCTCTGACCCTCCCCTGCTCATGCTCTCTCTCTCTGTCTCTCTCTCTCAGAAATAAAACATTTAAAAAAATTTTTTTTAAATAAATAATGTCCCCTCAACCTGACAGAAACATTTGATAATAGAAAACATTGAAAGAGGAGCGCCTGGGTGGCTCGGTCAGTTAAGTGTCCGACTTCAGCCTCAGGTCATGATCTTACCATTCAGAGTTCCATCCCCGGTTTGGGCTCTGTGCTGACAGTCCAGAGCTTGGAGCCTCTTTCAGATTCTGTGTCTTCCTCTCTCTGTCTCTCTCTGCCCTTCCCTATCTCATGGTGTCTCTCTCTCTCTCTCTCTCTCTCTCTCTCTCTCTCTCTCTTTCAAAAATACAAACACTAAAATATGTTAAGGAAAAAAAAAACATTGAAAGAAAGGAATGTTAAAACTATTAGAATAAATGCCAAGTAAAAGTCATTAAAAAATTAAAAGATATTGGCTCCAGATATTTAAAAGTCATTCTTTTTAAAAAAATGTTTCTTGGGGTGCCTGGGTGGTTCAGTGAGGTAAGCTCATGTGATTTCAGCTCAGGTTATGATTCGTTGTTTGTGGGTTTGAGCCCCTCATCAGGCTCTGTGCTGATAGCTCGGAGCCTGGAACCTGCTTCAGATTCTTTCTCTTTCTGCCCCTCCCCTGTTTGCACTCTGTGTCTCTCTCAATACATAAAAATTTTTAAAAAATGTTTATTTTTGAGAGAGAGAGCATGAATAGGGAAGGGGTAGAGAGAGGGAGAGAGAGAATCCCAAGCAGGCTTTGTACTGTCTCCACATAGCCTGATGTGAGGCTTGAACTCAAACCATGAGGTCGTGACCTGAGCCGAAATCAAGTCAGCTGCTAAACCAGCCGCTTCACCCACTGAGTCACCCAGGTGCCCCTTCATCTTTTCTTATAAGGACCCCCGGTCATACGGGATCAGAGCCCATTCTCTGACCTCATTTTAACTTGGTTACCTCTTTTATTTATGTTTTGAAAGTTTTATTTTTGAGAGAGAGGGAGAGAGACAGACTGTGAGGAGAGTGGGGGCAGGCAGAGGGAGAGAGGGAGACACAGAATCCAAAACAGGCTCCAGGCTCTGAACCCACAAACCACGAGTTCATGATCTGAGCCAAAGTCAAGACACTCAACCAGCTGAGCAACTCAGGCTTTTAAAGGACTGTGTTTCCAAATACACACTTTGAGGTCCTGGGGCTTACGACACTGACATAAGACTTTTTTTGGGTGGGGGGAGCTTGAAGGGGAGACATAATTAAGCCCATAAACAGTGACAAACAGTACATTGTAGGAAAATGCCTTTCATGTTGCCTTGATGTGGGTTGAACTGTTAAGAGCACGACTGAAAGCATGTTCAAGTGAGTGTTATGATACGTGGTACTTCATACTGGCTCATTTCCTTTTAGATGATGAAAATAATTTTGCTGGCTTGGCCTGGTTTTCATTTTGCCATTTCAATAGACACTCACTCCCATTGCTAATTCAGATTTTCAGTGGGCTTCTCTGGTCGTGTTAGGATATTTGCCACCAGTATTTACATAGTCTTCTCATCAGGGTCCTCCCTCAGCTTCTGCCAGTACTGTGTTGTTATTCTTCACTTTTAAGCTTGTTAATCTGATCAAAATTCAATAGATGCCATTGTTGCTTTAATGTGTACTTTTGTTTTATTGGTCTTTTTCTTTTAATTGAAATATGGTTGACACGTTAACATTGGTTACGAGTGCATAGCATAGAAATTGACACGTGTATACATTATGCTACTCTCACCCTGCAAGTGTAGCTCCTATTTGCCACCACACAGCCACCACACAGTGTTGTTAACACTGTGTTCCCTACGCTGTGTCTTTCATCCTTGTGACTAATTCGTTCCGTAGCTGGAAGCCTGCACTCCCCAGTCACCGGTTCCTCCCATCTCCCCCTCCTCCCCTCTGGCAACCACCAGTTTGTCCTGTGTATTTCTGGGTCTGTTTCTGCTTTTTTTGTTGGTTCACTTGTTTTGTTTTTTAGATTCCACATAGAAGTGAAATCACACAGTATTTGTCTCTGACTTCGTTCACTTGCACAAGACCCTCCAGGTCTGTACATACTATATACACATACACACATACGTGTAACATTTATACGCACACTGTATCTTCTCTATCCGTTCAGCTGTTGTTAGACACTTGGCTTGCTTCCATGTCCTGGCTGTTGTAAATAATGTCACAGTAAACACAGGTCACGTGACCTCTTTAAAGCCTGTGTCTCCAAATACAGGCACACTTTGGGGTACTGGGGGTTAGGACTTCAATAAGTCCTAACCTTTCCAAATTAGTGTTTCCATTTTCTTTGGGTAATATCCCTTAGTGGAAATACTAGATTGTGTGGGTTTTTCTGATTTTAAGTTTTAGGGGACCCTTCACGCTGTTTTGCGCAGCAGCTGCCCCCCCTTTACGTTCCCACCCACAGTGTGGGAGGGTCCCTTGGTGTCCACGGCCTCACCAGCTCGTTACTATCTTTTCGATACCAGCCATCCTGACAGATGTCAGGTGTTTCTGTTTTGTGAATTATCTTTTTTCTTGCCTTCAGATTTATATTGTATGTTTCTATTTTATATTTATTTGTCTTAGCCTCTGGTTTTCAAATATATTTTATAATACTCATAACCCATATGCATATATTTCTAAAAACATTCGGGGGGCACTTTTTCCTTTACAAGTGGTTTTGGTTTTGTTTGTACATAGAAAAGATTGTTTTGGTAGGCTTGTGAATAACAACATCAGTCTTTGCAAGCACCGCTCTGTGGCAGATGATGGAAGTCTTGTGACCTGGTGTGAGCTGCCTTGCAGGGAAGGTCTAATCTCTTCCACTTCCTCTCCTCCCAAAAGACCGACTGTTAGTTACATAGACTTAAACAGTGCTCCAGCTTTAAAAAACAAACAGCTGTCAACATTGTCTTTTCTCCTTAGAGGGGATGAATTTTTACCTTTTTATTTATTTTTTATTTTTTTAATGTTTTATTTATTTTTAGGGGAGAGAGAGAGAGAGAGACAGCGTGAGCAGGGGAGGGTCAGAGAGAGAGGGAGTCACAGACTGAAACAGGCTCCAGGCTCTGAACTGGCAGTCAGCACAGAGCCCGACGTGGGGCTCGAACCCATGAACCGTGAGATCATGACCCAAGCGAAAGTCGGACGCTTAACCGACTAAGCCACCCAGGTGCCCTGAATTTTTACCTTTTTAACGCTGAAGTGTTTGTCAACCCCTCTCTGGCCACCACTGGGTTTTATGTAAATGAGGTGAATTTTGGAAAGCCTCTAAGGATGGTGGTTGCTAAGGGAACCAACCCTGTGATTGGAGGGTAGGGACTTCCAGCCCCACCTCTTCACCCCCATAGAGGGGGGAGGGGCTGCAGGTGGAATCAGTGACCCAAAGCCAGTGATTTACTCCAAATCAGTCAGAACTATGTAATAAAGCTTCCAGAAACACCCAAGAATGTGGGGTTTGGGGAGCTGCCTGGTGGGTGAGCACATGGAGGTGCCTCACTAGTGGCTCACTTGGAGGGGAGCATGGGAGCCCTAGTCCCCTTCCCCCAGACTCCCTGCCCTGTGCATCTCTTCACCTGGCTGTTAATTCGTATCTTTTACTATCATTTTATATTGAGTGATCCTATGGAGTGAATGGGTTTCCTTAATTCTTTGAGCCGCTCTAGCATGTTAATTGAGCGGGGGGTCATGGAAACCTCTGATTCAAGCCCTGCTGGTCAGAAGCACAGGTGACACCCGGGGTCCCAGGAGCGCACCCTCACCTGTGGGATCTGATGCCGCCTCCAGGTAGATGGTGTCAGCACTGAGTTGAGCTGCAGGCGACCCCCCCTTCCTTCACTCATATGGTGGAATTTAATCCAGAACCCAAAAGCCCTATCTCACAGTCTCAGGTTGCCACTGAGCAACTTTATTTTAATAATTAAAAAATTTTTTTTTAAATTTTAAAGTTGAGAGAGACAGAGTGGGGACAGGGGAGGGGCAGAGAGAGGGAGACACAGTATCCAAAGTATCCAAAGCAGGCTCCAGGCTCCGCACTATCAGCACAGAGCCTAACATGGGGCTCGAACTCACAAACCATGGGATCATAACCTGAGGTGAAGTCAAAGGCCTAACCGACTGAGCCACCCAGGCGCCCGAGTGTCTTTCGTGTTCTCCCACCCCCAGCACTCAGGTGCATGCCTTCATGCCCACCCTTCCACGGAGGTCTGCTTTTGCTCAGAATAGTATTCCCTGTTTTGTTTTAAGGATTATTTATTTTTGAGAGGAAGAGAGAGAGGGAATCCCAGGCAGGCTCTGCACTGGCAGCACAGAGCCTGACATGGGGCTCGAACTCTCGAGCTGTGAGTTGGCTGCTCAACTTACTGAGCCACCCAGGCGCCTCTCATATTAGCTGTTGTAAAGGAAATTGCTTCTCCTGTGTGCCTCCTTTACTCACACAGAACACTGTGTGTAGGACTCTCCTCGTCACCTAACTCGGGGGGATTTCCCCACAGCCAGGCATTTCCCTTTGACACCAGCCGGGTGTCCGGCAGTTCGTCACAGAAACCCCTGGGATGCCAAGATCTGGCCACAGGCAAGGGGAAGCTTTGCCGCCATACGTCTTGCAAAGTGGGGAGACCACAGCCTTCAGCTGCCAACGGAAACCCCACTCCAGAGGGGAAGGTTTAGGCTTAAATGGGCAAACCCTGCCAGGTCTGTACCCTTGTCGAGGGTGGGGAGACCCAGGCCCCGGACTTCAGCCTGTGGAGCAGAGCGGCAAGTAGGATACAGCTCGCCGATTCCGGCAGTGGCTCCGGGATGTGGGGGCTGCTAAGGGGCGTGAGAACGTGTTGCAGGGGTCTTCCTGGGAATCCTGCTAAATTTTTTGTGTGCTCATTACCACAGGCCGCGCTGACCAGTTTTGTCCCTTAGGGTCATCCGGCCTTGCCCTGAGGGAGCCCATCTTGTCCGTGAGCTGTCACTGTTTAATTATTGGGGTCATCTGTTCTCAACATTAAAAAATTTTTTTTGAGTCTATTTATTTTGAGAGAGAGCAAGCGAGCATGAGCAAGAAGAGGGGCAGAGAGAGAGAGAGGGAGGGAGGGAGAGGATCCTATAAACAAGCTCTGCGCTATGAGCACAGAGCCTGACTCAGGGCTCAAACTCATGAATTGTGAGATCATGACCTGAGTGGAAATCAAGAGTTGGACACTTAACCAACTGAGCCACCCAGGCACCCCTTTTGTTGTCAAATTGAACTCCATTCTGGCAGTGTCTGCCCATAGATAGGGTCACATATATCACAGGATAAGGACTCAGTCCTACAAGACTTAAGATGCCAGCCTCACCCCAAGTGGCCTTCGGACGTTCCCAGAACCCCTGCCTTGGGTTTGATTAATTTTCAGGAGTAGCTCACAGCACTCAGGTAACCATTGCTGTGATACCAGTTTGCTGCAAACAATATTAAATAATACAAATCAACAGCCAGATGAAGAGATCCATCAGGTGAGACTCAAAGGAGCTTCCGACCCTATACAGTCTGAGGCCGGTCAGGGTGCCCTGTGGATGGGATCTGGTTCAGCAGCCTGGAGGCTCCCTACACCTCGCCCTTATGGGGGTTTATGGAGGCTTCTAACACGGGCAGGGGGGATGGAATCATCATCAGCAATTGGCCACTGGAGGTTGAGGGGTCAGTGCCAGCCCTCCAATCACTGCTTTGGTCCCCTGGCAACCAGCTCCCCTTTCCTAACACTCACCTCGTCAATGTAATAAGACACCTTTACCAGGCTCCTCACTTAAGAGATTTCAAGGGTTTTGGGGGCACATGGGTGGCTAAAGAGATTTTAAGGGTTTTGGGGGCACATGGGTGGCTAAGTCCTACTTCAAATGTCCAACTTGGGGTCAAGTCATGATCTCACAGCTCGTGGGTTTGAGCCGCACGCTGGGCTCTATGCTGACAGCTCAGAGCCTGGAGTGTGCATCAGATTCTGTATGTCCCTCTCTCCCTGCCCCTCCCCTGCTTGTGCTCTCTAACAAAAATAAACATAAAAAATTTCAAGGGTTTTAGGCGCTCTTATCAGAAAGCTAGAACAAAGCACGAAATCACGAGTATGTAGTGAGATGACAGATATTCCTAGAAACTTAATCCCCCAAAATACAACATGGAGTAGTTAGTGGAGACCCATGTAGATCATGGGAAAAAACCATTAAAAACAAGTCTACAGGTGACCTCTCTCCCATAAGGAGTAATTTCGCATTGACCTGGGCTGTATTGTTCCAGGGATCAGTGTCATTTGAGGATGTGACCGTGGACTTCAGCAGAGAGGAGTGGGAGCAGCTGGGCCCTGCCCAGAGATGCCTGTACCTGGACGTGACGCTGGAGATCTGCAGCCTCCTCCTCTCCGTGGGTGAGCACCTCGCCCCGGGCATCTGGGACTGACTGTGCTGAGATTCCCCTCTTGTCATGGGATGCAGTAGGGCATCTGAATTGTGTAATCTGTTTGCCTTTGGTTTGTCACGGACTATTTGTTCCTTTGGGGCACCTTCAAATACTACTTTGTTCTTAAGTGGAAGATGTTGACTTCTGCAAGGAGCCCAAGCAGCGCTTTGCAGAATGGCCTATAAAGCTCAAGACGACATCAAAATCTGATACTCCTTCTCACAAACAGGGTATCCCATCCCCAGGCCAGACATGATTTTCAGGATGGAAAAGGAAGAGGAGCCGTGGACAAGGGAGGCTCCGCTCCCACATCAAAGGCGTCGAGGTGAGTGACTGTTACCTAGCAGATGTGGACATCTCTGGGGGGCCTATTATTTGACCTGCCACACTGTGTGTCTCCCGGTGTGGGCCACATGCCTCTTGGCTCTCCCGGTTTCTACAACTAACGCTGTGATGTCTTATCTTGTAAATGGCCATGGGGGGCAGGCATGGGAATTTCTCAGAGGTGGCTACACAGGAGGGGCTTCCCTGATCCCTGGACAGATGTATACTTAAGTGTGACTGAGTGAACCATAGGCTCCTCCGATGGGCTCTGGGATCTATGCTCTGGCGTGAAAAGGCACAGGGACCCACACTCGTATGGCTTGCTCACTGGCGTGGCGTCGATCAGGTTTCTCCTGGCCTGTGTGATAGGCCTTTGGGCTGTTCTAGTTTTAATGTCATTTTTCTAGTTAAGAGTATCTCCTTGTAGCTGTCATCTAATTGGGTTTCCATCTGTACATTGCTTCTGTTGTCTTGTTCTGTCCCTTTATGTCTGTGGAGTTTTCGTCAAGCCCTTTTTCCTTTTTATTTGCCCCCTGAATTCACTGGTTTGTATTTTCTGTGCTAGATATTCATTCTTCTTTTCTCGTAATTGGGGCTCTTCCAGCTTAGACCCCAGGCTTTCATCTGGTTATCACTTCATCCCTTCTATTCACAAACCCAGGCCTCAGGTTTTTCTGGTCATCTCTAGATCAACCACTCCAGTCCCTGCACCTAAACCACTCTCCTGCCTTAGCCAACTACATGGTGGAAATGCCTGGGGGAGGACTCACTTCCTTTTTCAAGAGATCACAAATTGGAATCCTTACCAAATCATTTTTCTCTGCCTTTTACATTTTGTCAGATTCTTTTTTGTATTTTTTAAAGTTTGTTAGAGTAGGGCATATATGTGGGTGGCTGTCAGTTAAGTGTGACTTTGACTTCTGTCACGAGCTCATGGCTTATGAATTCAAGCCCCACACCGGGCTCTGTGCTGACAGCTTAGAGCCTGGAGCCTGCTTCGGATTCTGTGTCTCCTCGTCTCTCTGTCCCTCCCCTGATCACGCGCTGCCTCTCTTTCTCAAAAATAACTAAAAAACATTAAAAGTTTATTAGAGGGAAGGGGTGGAAGGACAGATGGAGAAAGAGAATCACAGGCAGGCTCTGCACTGTCAGCTCAGAGTCCTGACGTGGGGCTTGATTCCATGAAACGGTACGATCATGACCTGAGCTAAAAATCAAGAGTCAGATATTCAACTGACAGGTCCTCCCCACATTTCTAAATTCATCTCCTGTGCTCTACTAGAACAGAGATGTATATTCAATGTATATAATTGTAGACAGTATATATATATATATATATATATATACTGAAAATAATACTTTTCTGTATTTTAGGAAACAAAATAGCCTGCTGAGGTAAATTCAAAGATAAGAAGACTGTCATTAGAGTGGGTAACATGATATGTTAAAACCATCAGCGTTTTGGCATTAATCTTTCTGTTTAATGGAAGCCTACTTGAAAACTAAGTATCAGGATGAAGGATGTAGGGAGTGACTGCTTGTGAGGGTCCGAGGAGATGGCGGTAGCCCAGAGAGTGGCATTGGGGGTAACATTCAAAGCCACGGTACTTGTAACTGCTTTCACATAGCAGCCATGAACCCTAGGGGAAAGAAAGCTGAATGGGGTTATTAGAGGCAAGTATATGCTTGGATTTGGGAATAAATTACTTTTTTTTGAAACAGCATTGGGGTTTTTTTGTTTTTTTTTTTTAAGTTTTTATTTATATTTGAGAGAGAGAGTGAGTGAGTGTGAGAAGGTTAGAGAGAGAGGGAGACACAGGATCTGATGCAGGCCCAGGCTCTGAGGTTTCAGCACAGAGCCCCACGCCAGGTCAAACTCATGAACCATAAGATCATGACCTGAGCTGAAGTCGGATACTTTACTGACTGAGCCACCCAGGTGCCTTGGAAGCAGCATTATTGTTAAGATGTGTTGGAGAATTATGGAGAAGCTTTTCAGCATAATTCTGATATATATTTTTAATATAGTTTATTGTCAAGTTGGTTTCCATATAACACCCAGTGCTCATCCCAACAAGTGCCCTTCCCCATGCCAACAGCCCCCTTCCCCTCCCCCCCATCAGTCCTCAGTTTGTTCTCAGTATTCAAGATTCATAGTTTGCCTCCCTCCCTCTCCCCCAACTGTTTTTCCCCCTTCCCCTCCCCTATGGTCCTGTTAAGTTTCTCCAGTTCCACATGAGTGAAAACATGGTATCTTTCTCTGCCTGACATATTTCACTTAGGATAATACCCTTGAGTTCCATCCATGTTGCTACAAATGGCAGATTTCATTCTTTTTCATTGCCATGTAGTATTCCATTGTATATATAAACTGCATTTTCTTGATCCATTCATCAGTTGGACACTTAAGCTCTTTCCATATTTGGCTATTAGCACATTCTTATCGATGTTTGTGATTGTCTTATGTATTTGGGTGTTTCTGAATTCAGTGCATAGACATTTATACTTGTTAGCTCTTCCTGATGGATAGACCCTGAAATTATTATATAATGCCCTTCTTTGCCTTTAAAATAAAAAATAAAGTCCAGTTTGTCTGATATAAATATGGCTACTCCAGCTTTCTTTTTGATGTCCAGTAGCATGATAGATGTTTTCCCATCTCCTCACTTTCAATCTGAATGTGTCCTCAGGTCTAAAATGGGTTTCTTGTAAACAGCAAATAGATGGATCTAATCTTTTTAATCCATTCTGCTACTCTGTCTTTTGATTGGAGCATTTAGTCCATTTACATTCAGTGTTATTATTGAAAAATACAGGTTTAGAGTTATTGTGTTCTCTGTTAGATTCATGCTTGTAGTGGTGTCTCTGGGACTTTGTGTTCCTTGCAACATTTCCCTCATAGGATCTCTTGTAGGGCTGGTTTAGTGATGATGAATTCCTCCATTTTTTGTTGGGATAAACCTTGATCTCTCCTTCAATTCGGAATGATAGGCTTGCTGGATAAAGGCTTCTTGGCTGTATATTTTTCCTGTTCATCACACTGAAGATTTCCTGCCATTCCTTTCTGGCCTTCCAAGTGTCAGTAGATAGGTCTGCTACTACCCTGATATGTCTCCCTTTGTATGTTGGGGCCCTTTTATCCCTAACTGCTTTCAGAATTCTCTCTTTGTTCTTGTATTTTGCCAGTTTCACTGTATGTCGTGCAGATCGATTCAGTTTACGTCTGTGGGGAGTTCTCTGTGCCTCTTGGATTTCAATATCTGTTTCCTTTCCCAGGTTGGGGAAGTTCTCATGTATTATTTGTTCAAGTACACCTTCTGCTCCTTTCTCTCTCTCTCCTTCTGGAATTCCTATGATATGGATATTCTTCCGTTTGATTGTATCACTCAGCTTTTGAACTCTCCTTTCATGTTCCTGGACCAATTTCTCTCTCTCTTTCTCGGCTTCCTCTTTCTCTATAATTGTATCTTCTAATTCACGTATTTTTTCTGCCTTTTCAATCCGTGCAGTAGCCAACGCCTCCATTTTATTTTGTGTTGCATTTTTTAGTTCATCAGTATTTGCAACAATAATGGCTCGGATGTCATCCAAGCCCTTTTGAAGCCCAATGAAGTAATTTTATGAGTATTATTCTAAATTCTTGTTCAGTTATGTTGCTTAGATCGGTTTTGAGCAGTTCTCTAGCTGTTATTTCTCCCTCGAATTTCTTTAGAGGAGAGTTCTTCTGTTTTGTCATTTTGGCTAGCTTTCTTTCTCGTTAGTTTTAAAAGCTTGTGATGTGTTCTGCCCGTGTGAGTGCTGCTATATTAATATTAAAGGAGGCTCATACACTGTCCAGGGCCTGGCCGTTCAGGAAGTCTTCTTTGAAGGGTGTCCCTTGGTCTCTCTTGTGACTTTGGTTTTATTTCTCTACTCGTAGTGATGTTTTGAACTCTCCACGATGTGCACTTTAGGTTTGTTCCTTGAAGTAGCCCTGGAAAGGAAAGGAAAGGAAAAGAGATAACAAGAACACACAAATGCACAGGCAAAGCAACAAAAATAATAAACAAAAACAAAGCACAGTCTAATGCGTAAAACTAGAAACCCCAGCAGGGGTGGATGCGGTGCTGATGGAAGAACACATACAAAGAGAAAATGAAAATGAACACTGACCAGACAGAGAGACTAAAATGCTTAATCCAGAGAGAGAAAAAGGAGAATACGGAGGGAGGCAAGGAGAAAAAAATGAAAACGAAGATAATTTTACCCAGAAAAACTATATAGTCTTATTCCAGAGAGAGAGGAAGGAAGGTAAAGAAGGAGGTGTAGAACATGCATCAGGAGGATGGATTAAATGTGTGTTTAAGCAAACCTATAACCAGCCCAGGGGAGGGGAGAGAGAATGAGAAAAGGGGGAATATGTCTGAAGAGCAAGGATTGATCTAGAGCTAATCACGGCAATGCAGCAGCGCTGGTCTTGGCGGGGGGGGGGGGGGGGGGGGGGGCATCAACAGGCTCCCAGCAGCTCCCAGCATAGATGGGGTGGTTTGGTGTGGGGGGGGGGGGGGGGGGGGGGGGGGGGGGGGGGGGGGGGGGGGGGGGGGGGCGTTTCTGGAGCATGCACGGGCTCCCAGCAGCTCCCCAGCGCAGTTGGGAATGGTTTGGTGTAGGTGGGTCCTGAAGGTTGTGGGGAGAAAAATGCCGACCCGTTAGTCCCTTCTCCTGGACCAGGTGTCCCAAATCACTCCTTTGGATCTGTACTCACTGTGCCACAGGCGCAGAGGAGGCGGGCCGTCTCCCGTGCCTCACGCCCTCACTCCGTGCGTTCTTAATGATGCCACCCAACTTGCAATCCCACAAGCCAAGGCACTTCAGGGCAGGGAACTGGTTCCTCCTGATGCCGACCGCATCCCTGGGGTACCACCTAACCTGGAGGGAACTTCCACTGTCCAGTGCCAGACCGAGGCCACCAGTCCAAGGAAAGCCCCACAGTTAGAGGTGGGATATCTCTCCGAAAGCCCTGCGGTTAGAGATTGGAGGGGATGAGGTTTTTCTCTTGTCCAGATACAGTCCTACACTTCCCCAGCCGTTCTCCTTTCCCTTTGTCTCTCTGCAAAAGGGGCTCCCTCCCCTCCATGCCTCTGTGTCCCGGCTCTTTATCATCTCCCCCAGTTCACAGTCACACACCTATGAGGCTGTCTTCCTCGCAGACTCCATCTCCCTTCTTCCCAGACTTTTGGGGTTTAGAGTCCTTTGGCTTCAGCCCTTCTTTGAGAGATGCGGGCGGGAAGTACGGATCCCCCTACTTCACCATGTTTTTCATCTCTAATTCTGATATTTTAACGTTGAGGATCTTCAACGTTTCATTGGGTTCTCCAAAAGTTTTATGATCTAAGTGAACCATTTAAAATTTTGAAATCCCTGTCTGGGAACTCAGAGTAGAAGATCTTAAGAAAAAGTAAAAGCCTGTGTTTAGGTAAAGTTGCTATTAAGGAAAAAACCAAACAGCCTGATTAAAAAGTAGGTAAGGGACTTAAATAGACATTTCTCCAGGTGACATACAAGTGGCCAACAAGTATATGAAATATACTCAGCATTAAGGCAAGGCAGAGCAAAAGCACTGTGTCCAGAGCACATAACAAGCTTTTAAAGCCGACAAGAGACAGAAAGCTAGCCACCGCTGCCAGTATAACACAACTCTGCAATTTCTCTGTCTCCAGCCGCTCCTCTGATGCGTCCTCCTTCCTCTGCTAATTTGTGTCTAGTTCATCTTGTTTTTCTCCTTGTAGAAGGGACGTTTGGACTCAAAACCTCCCGACAGAAAATTTTTGAACAAGCTTCATTTCACGACGATAAGGAACTCATGGTCCCAAGAGGCGGTTCGTGGTGCTGCATGTTAGGAGACCTGTGGGGAGATGCGGACCCCACGGCGAGGGGGCCTTCGCAGCTTGGGGCTTTCCGCAGCAGGAAAACACCGGACACAGAGAGAGACTGCGAGTGTAAGGACCCTGGAAAGATCACTCCTATGAGGCCCCACCTTGTTTCTTCACAAAAAACACCTCCTAAATGTTGCTCATTTGCAAGAAGTCTGAAGCCCAACCTAGAAGGGAATCCTCAAAATCTAAGCAGCAGCTCAGAGCACCTCGATGGGACTGTGGGCTCAGGCCGGCTCTTCACCCACAGCCCTTCCAGTCGCAGCTGCAGGAACGTTCATCCAGGAGAGAACCTGTGTGAAGGGAATCCACAAGCGAAAGCCCTCAGCCAAGAACCGCCAGGCACACATCAAGTTCATCCTTGGGAGAAACCCGATAAATGTGCTGAATGTGGGAGGGGCTTTGGCCAGAAGCCACCCCTCGAACAGCAGAGGTTGCACAGCATGGAAAGCCTCCAGGAGTGCAGGAAATGCACCGAAGGCCTCGCCCTGCGCCCACGCCTTGGAGTGTATCTTACTGGGCACACAAGGAAGGTTCCTTATGTGTGTAAGGAGTGCGGGAAGGTCTTCACTCAGAGGTCAGAACTGATTACACATCAGAAAACTCACACTAGACAGAAGCCCCATAAATGCCAGGAGTGTGGAAAAGCCTTTTTCCAGACATTGTCTCTCTGCAGACACCAGAGGACCCACGCTCGAGGAAAACTGTATGAGTGCGGCGAGTGCGGAAAAGGCTTCTCCCAGAACTCCACCCTCGCCACACATCAGAAGATCCACACCGGCGAGAGGCTGTATGCATGCAGCGAATGTGGGAAGGCCTTCACCCAGAAGTCCACGCTCAGCCTGCACCGGAGAATCCATTCGGGGGAGAAGTCCTACGTGTGCATCGTGTGCGGACAGGCCTTCGTGCAGAAGGCCCACCTGACCGTGCATCAGAGAAGCCACACCGGAGAGAAACCTTACCCGTGCCGCAGCTGCGGCAAGTCCTTCATTTCCAAGTCACAGCTCGACATACATCACCGCATCCACACCGGGGAGAAGCCTTATGAGTGCAGTGACTGCGGGAAAGCTTTCACTCAGAAGTCGCACCTCAACATACACCGGAAGATTCACACCGGTGAAAGACAGCATGTGTGCTGTGACTGCGGGAAGGCCTTCAACCAGAAGTCCATCCTCAGCATGCACCAGAGAACTCACACTGGGGAGAAGCCCTACAAATGCAGCGACTGCGGCAAAGCCTTCACCTCAAAGTCACAGTTCAAGGAGCATCAGCGAGTTCACACCGGGGAGAGACCCTATGTGTGCGCAGATTGTGGGAAGGCTTTCAATGGCAGGTCCAATTTCCACAAACATCAGATGACTCACAGGAGAGGGAAGACCTTTGCCTGCTACAGATGTGGGACCACCTTTGTCCAGAAATCAGAGCTGGTGGCACATCAGAGAACTCACGTTGGACAGAAGCTCTATGAATGCGGCGACTGTGGGAAATCCTTCAGTAAAAAACCACAGCTCCAAGTGCATCGGCGGATTCACACGCGAGAGACACCCTATGCGTGTTCTCAATGTGGGAAGGCCTTCAACAACAGATCCAATTTTAACAAGCACCAAACAACTCATACTAGAGACAGGTCTCATGAAAGTAGTTACTGTGTGAAAGGCATTACCCAGAAACCTGTTCCTAGTATGCATCAGCAATAACAGACGTGAACCAAACTCTAAATTTCTTGGGGGAGGGGCACCTGGGTGGCTTAGTCGGTTAAGTGTCCGACTTTCGCTTAGGTCATGATCTCGCGGTGCGTGGGTTCGAGCCCTACATCGGGCTCTGTGCTGACTGCCAGCTCAGAGCCTGGAGCCTGTTTCAGAGTCTGTCACTCCCTCTCTCTCTGACCCTCCGTTGCTCACACTGTCTCTCTCTCTCTTAGAAATAAAACATTAAAAAAAATTTTTTTTAAATATAAATTTCTTGGGGGAAAAAATCTCCCAGGAGTCTGATTCAATTGTATGTTATAGAAGTCATGATTCAGAAAAACCTCAGGAATGCACTGCATTGTTGCCAAGGTACACATTGTTTTATGTGAAGGAAATTACTCAGAAAAGAACTTTTAAGAACGAGGTGAAATATCCTTAACCTCAAGGATAACTGACACCCTGAGAAAAGTGTTTCTGAGAAAGTAGTACAAGACAGACTTCTGCCAGATCATTCATAGGAAAATTTGTGAGAAAGACTTAACGATAATCTTGCTAAACATGGAATATCGATATTCCATCTACAGTAAAACCTTGGTTTGCAAGCATGATTTGTTCCAGAAATATGCTTGTAATCCAAAGCACTTGTATATCAAGGCGCATTTCCAGAACCATTGGCTCAGTTGTGATCATGTGACATTCAGCATCCAGTACTCACTCTTATTGCAAGACATTGCTCACTTATCCACACGCATGGAACAAGTTACTCACAATCCAAGGTTTTATTACCCCATTGGCAAACTGACTGCACATTGTCATGTGCAGGTGTTTATGTGCTCACCTCAGCATATGTATGTATATACATGTACACAACCTGGAGCATGGGGACAGAGGTGTGGGGGGATTACATACTTGCATACTTTTTAAAAGGATCTATTATAGTTGTGTTTCTGTTTATTCCCAGCTGCATATATCCTGAAATTGCACTGCACAGCGAATGAGAATTAATGCCTTGGTGTAGATGCACAGACAGGCATACCTGCCTCATTGTACTGTGCTTTGCAGACAGAAAACACAATACTGCATCTTGACAAACTTAAGGTTCACGGCAGCCCCGTGTCCAGCCGGTCTCGATGCCATTTTCCCCATCAGTATTTGCTCCCACCATGTCGCTGCCAACATGTTGCTCACTCTTGGGGTATTTTCAAGTTTTTCATGACTGTTAGATCTGTTACGGTGATCAGTGATCACTACTCCCCAAGAGCTCAGAGGCTGGTTGGCATTTTTTAGCTATAGTTTTTTAGGCATAACACTTGCAAACTTACTATAGTCTGGTGCATGCAGAAGTCGCACATGCACTGGGAAGCCAAATGATTCACTTTGACTCACTTTACTGCGACATTCGCTTTGCTTGCAGGGGTCTGCAACTGAACCCGCAGGATCTCCGAGGTAGGCCTGTCTCGAGACACGAGCGTATTTTGGTAAATGCGTAAATGTGATTCTGTGCTGTTCACCGGCCTTCACGGGGCACCTCTTTTTCACACCAGCCCAGCTCTACCCTCCCCACCGCCACCACCCAGGGCAAGCGTCTCCTAACAGCCAGCGTCAACCTCTCGGTATGGACGTTTCCTCTTTTCACACAGGCTCTTAACCACTTACCCAGTGCCAGCAAACTGGCCATTGGCCAAAGCAGGTTGGCCACCTGTTTTTTTAAAATAAAAATTATAGTGGACACAGCCCCGTTCCTTTGTGTATGGCGGGCATGAGTAACCCGTGGCAGAGCCCGCATGGGCTGCAGGCCAAGAATATTTGCCTTCCGGCCCTCATGGAAGATCACCAGCACTTGGTGTCCACACACTCACCCCTACGCTCAGGACCCTACGCCCGCGTCAGAGCTCTGTCCTCGGTTCTGTATATACCGGATCCCATCACAAGCGCACGTGCCTCGTTCCTCTCACGCTGCAGCCCATCTGTTCAGTGGCTGCGCTGTATGGTGTTGGGTGAACACGCTCTAATCAACCACCCTCACAGTTTTTACTCTTTTCCCCACTTTTTTTTTCTTTCTGCAAGAAAGCAGCAGAACAGCACAGTGGTGCAGGACACAGCCCAGGAGCCGGGCACCTGTATTGGACCCTATGTCAGTGGGGCGAGTGCTGAAGTCCTCTGTCCTGGGATCCCAGCATACAGTGGCGGCCAGAGAGCTGACAGGGTCGCGAGAGGAGCGTCTCTGCAGCTTTACACGGGGGAGGGCAGGGAGGCCAGATGCCTGTCCCTGACCCCATGGCGGGACCTGCAGGCCCCCACCTGGCAGCCATGTCCCCGTCCCTCATGATCCCAGCCCCTGCGCCGCTTTTCCCCAGGTAGTGAATGGGCCCAGGGCAAACGCCCCCAAGGTAGGGAGGGGTAGGGGAGCCAGGAGAGGCAGAGAGCTGGAACCAGGAGCTTCAGGCAGCAGGGCCTGGCCCTGGCTTTCTATCTCCAAGCTTTATTTCTGGGCTCGCCCTCCTCCACTCACCCCTGATTCCCTGGTGTCCCCTGATCCTGGGGTAGCCCTTTCTCTTGAGATGGGTCCTCAACCCCTGGGACCTCCCCTCCCCTCAATCCTCTGACAGGCCCACCTTGTAACCCCTTGACGGCCCTTTCTCCCGACCCCAAGGAACACCCTTTCTTGCCCCCTGGTCAGCCATTCCCCTTCTGTGACTTCTGTCATGACCTTCTATCACGGACTCCCCATGACACCCACATCCAAAAGGAAGGTTCTTCCCTGACTACCAGGATTTCCCTGCCCCACTGGCCCCAGGGACCAGGGCCTGGACCATACAGATGAACAGGGCGGGGTCTGGAGAAACACAGGGTCTGGCCAACCACCCCCTACAGATGGCCCCCTCCCCCCGCCTAACTTGTACCTGAACTTGTCCATGGCCACAGACACAAGGGCCGGGAAGCTGTCACGGATGCAGAGGTGGCTGTCATCCTCTGGGAGGAGGTTCATATGCTGGAAGAAGACAGTCCCATTCCTCTTGCGTGGCCTCCCAGCACCCCACGCCGCATAGCCTGCCTGGCTCAAGGCGGTGTTACCCACCTGGGACGGACGGAGATGCTTGGTGCTCCCTCACCAGCAGGCAGGAGCCTGTCCCACCTGCCAGGCCCTTCTTGCCCTCTTTCCAAGAGCCATTCTCCTGCCTGGACCCTATTCCCGCCAGAGTTGGCAAACCCAGACCTGTCCACAGGGCACAGTTCAAAGGTTACCTCCCGTGGACAACTTTCCTTTAATTCCCACCCCTATCCTGGGCAGGGTCAGTGTCTTTAGTCCCTCAGCTCTGCCTCCTTGGCCATGTTCAAGATTCTCAAGGATCATCCTCTGCAAGAGATCATCTGAGGGAGGCAGAGGTTAGGGTGAGCAAGGACCACCTACGTCTGTTTCTGACAAAGACTGTGTCTAATGCCTAGAAACCATGCCCAGGTTTGTCTCTCTGACCGCACCCCCCTCCCGCCCCCATCATCATTACGTTATTCTTCATCTTCACCACTTTTTTTTTTTTTTTAAGTCTGAGAGAGATCGTGAGTGGGAAAAGGGCAAAGAGAGAGGGAGAGAATCCCAAGCAGGCTTCACGCTGTCAGCATACAGCCTGACTCGAGGCTCAATCCCACAAACTGTGAGATCATGACCTGAGCCGAAATCAAGATTCAGATGCTTAAAGGACTGAGCCACCCAGGCGCCCCCATCGTGACCACCTTAATTGTTACCATCATCATTTGGTCATGTTCATCATTAGCACTAACTAGCACTGTCACCACTATCTTCATCTCCAACACCATCACCTCACCTCCATCACTCTTACCATCCCCATCCTCACCAACAGCAGTAGCAGCATCTTAATCATCACCAGCAAAACCACCAACACCACCATCGGAATCCCCATGATCATTAGCGCTGTCATCACTGAGCACCTACCACATGTGCCAGGCCTTGGCCTCACTGCTTTTAATATAGTCATTAACTCAATGAATCCCTCCTGCAGCCCAGTGATGGAGGTGTTACCATCATCCCTGTCTCATGAATGAGAAAACTGTGGCACAGAGAAGTTCCCCAAGTTCATACATGGTTATACTGAGTGACAAGGTGATGGGTGGATGGATAGATGGATGGACGGATGACTGGTCCCACACTCTGACCACACAAATAGTAATGGGCAAGGCTGGGATCCAAACATACATCTAAGGGACTCCAAGCCACTTAAAGAAGTGACCACTTAGCTTCACTGCCCAACCTGGCCAGCCCTGGTCTCAGGGAGGCCCAGACTCAGCGGGACTGAGCCTTTCAGACAGCCATTTAAGCTGATCCCAGACGTGGCCAGTCTAAAGCTCAGGCTGATTTCCCCCAGTTCAAGTTCTTCTTGGCTCATAAATCCTGCCCCACACGCACTCTCTGGCCCAGATGCTGTCAACTCAGAGACTGAAGACCTCAGTCTTGACTCTCCACTGCCGTGCTCAGACCCGTCTTCTTGCCTCTGATTTTCCCCATTCCGGCTGAACCTGGTTCACCACGTACGTGGCACAGTGCAGTTGCAGATGCTGCAGGAAGGGGTGAGAGTGGAAGGGCAGGTGCTGCCGGTGCCGGACTTGCCCACGGTAGAGTACCACTACCTTGCGGTGCCGTGGGCAGCAGTCAGGTGGCCGGTACCGGCCTCCCAGCTCCATCTGCGGTTTCTTTCCCACCACCTGCTCCATCGTCAGGTCCTCTGGGATCACCACCTTCAAGGGGCCATCTCTCTCAGTGAGGCTGGGATGGTCAGGGCCCTGCCCCAGAAACCCCACAACCCAGCTGGGTTCAATCACGTCCCCCCAAAACCATGCCCATCAGAACTTCAGAATGTGACCTTATTTGGAAACAGGCTCTACGCAGATGTAGGTGATAAAATGTGCAAGTATTGGATTCGGGTGGCCCTAAGTGCAATGACTGGTGTTGTTATTAGAAGGCCAGGCGAAGACCCAGAGAGAAGGAGGCCACAGAGGCAGAAATCAAAGTGATGTGCCTACAAGCCAAGGAAAGCCAACAACTATCAGAAGCTAGGAGAGGGGCACAGGATGGTTTCTCTCTCAGAGGA